CCATAAATACAAAATGATACCGTTCGATCCTGCCTGAAATCCATTGCTGTCATTTTAATCTCTGCAATGTTGATTCAAATAATATTAACCCCACCCAGTTCTTTGTGCACTATAGAACACCTCCCCCTAATAGTCCTAACACACTAGGGTGACCACGATGCTCCTCTAAACATACAGTACATTGACTGAGGGTTGTCACCCCAAGACAGGAAGTGTGTTACTGGATCACCAGGTATAATTATAGTAGAACCCAGCCTGAAGGATTAGTAAGCTGCAATGCATTACGTTTTTTTCTTTTTGAGTTTTAATCAGGGTGGGTAAACTGAAATATGAAAAAAGTGCAGATGCTGAAGCCTGCAATTGATCCATAAAGTGGTATTGAACCGAAAACCGGCAGCACAGTGGCTAAATGGTTAGCACTTCCGCCTGGCAGTACTAGGGTCGTTGGTTCGAATCCCAGCCACGGCACCACCTGCCTGGAGTTTGCATGTTCTCCCTGTGCCTGCGTGGGTTTCCTCCTGGTACTCCGGTTTCCTCCCACACTCCAAAGACATGCTGGTAGGTTAATTGGCTCCTATCTAAATTGGCCCTAGTATGTGTATGTATGAATGTGAGTTAGGGACCTTAGATTGTACGCCCCTTGAGGGTTAGGGACTGATGTGAATGTACATATATATATATATATATATATATATATATATATATATATATATATATATGTGTGTGTAAAGCGCTGCGTAAATTGACAGCGCTATATAAGTACCTGAAATAAATAAATAAAACCAACAATTGAATATATTTCAGCTTACCAATAATTATATGTGGTGACTGCATTAGTTTTCTTTTTTGGGTCTTATTTCCTCTGTTTTCACCTGATGATCTGGTCAGTAACATACCTCCTGTATTAGGGTGCCTCCATTCTGGATGAAGGTGCAACAGAGACACCTTTGGAGAGCAGCATTGTCAGTCTGGGGGGGGGAGTGTTAGATGTACTAGCAGATTTAGATACACTAACACATTGAAGCCAAACACTAGCTCACACTTTATACACAACTTTTACAGCAAAAGGTTTTGTTGTTTTTTTTTTTTTTTTTTTTTTTTTGGGGGGGGGGGGGGGGGGGGGGTAAAGGTTTTACATAAAGAAAAGCTGATCATTATAAGCACTCCCTGTTAGTGGTAAATGGTTAGTCTCAGCACTCTCTATATTTGCAGGAGAGCTTGTTTTGTTGAAAAACGATACCAAGCGATAATTTAAGGTGGTTGTAAATTCTTACATATACCCAGTGAAGTGACTGGCCTCAGGTGATACACAGGGATGAAACATGACCTGTGGCCATGGAGGTGATTTGAACACCTAAGTGCAATGATTTGGAAGGGTGCCCCAATACTTTTGGTGTGTGTGTGTGTCTTCATGTGTTTGTCTCTTCATAGTATAACTACAGGCTTTTGTTTGGATTAAGTGAAGAGGAAATGGAACACATATCAGGTTTTAATTGCTGTCCTCTTAAGGGAGGTTCACTCTGTCTATTTGTCCGGTTTATCGGTCTCCATGGAAATGAAGGAAAATGCCAACTTTTGAGGTGTCACCATAACAGGAATAAAGGGGAAATCTTCCAATAGGGACACTAGTTTTGTTGACAACCAGGGAATGCTTTACATTGGAGGGGTTGCCCTTGCTTCTGGTTTTGGGACGGGAAGTAAAGGGAAGTCTTCCCAATGGGGCACAGATGGCAAAAAAACCCCAAACCTGATGGGTTTTAACCCTTCCTTACTATTCAAAATGGAATAAAAAGTTTTGCCTTTTAATTCCATGTTAGGGACCTGGGAACATGTATTTGTATCCTGTACATGGGGCTTTTCCTGCGGCTGCAGTGAGCGAACAGACTTCTGCCTTTCATTACTCCCGTGCTGTGAGCTTAGTATAAATAAATGTAAAATAATTCATTATGGTTTTATAACCGGCGCAGGTTAATATGAAGACTCATGGAGCGTAAATATTTACCCAATCGTTCACTTTCCTGTTCCCTTATAGTCCAGATGTGCTCGCCTGGGAAAAAGGCCTTGTGTTTTGATCTCCAACTCTTGTACATTTTAGAGTTCAGGATATGTTTTACATCAGCTGTACTTCAATTATGTTAATGTGAACCAGAGTAGATCTATCACCGATGTAAAAGATGCAACTCTTCGGAGCTGGTTTATATATGCTGATTCATTATAGGGAAAGGGGCTCTCATTTATTAGAAACCCAATAGGAAATATTTCCATATTGCCTATAGCAACCATGTTATTTCATTGTGATCTAGAAATGAGATTGAAGAAATTTGCTGCTATGGCCAATGGACTAATCAGAAAAAATTTAACGGATTTTCCCCATCCATACAAGTGAGATGGATGGAGGAATCGAACCTGCTGTGCCGTTGTATTCTGCCAGCAGGACTTTTCCAATGGGCTACAGCCAACCAATTGAGGACATTTTCCAACAAGCTCATTCAACAGAAGTAAATTGTTAGACCAACTTTTGTCGAGCTGGAGCAGCTGTACATGGATTGAAATTCGGCTGGTCCCTGCTGAGCCCAGCCGATTTTTATCCATCTGTGGCCAGCTTTAGATGAAGCTAGCTGTGGAATGGATTGGATAAGTGATGCCATTGTCCTTTACAGCAGTTCCATTCATGCCTTTATTTTCATTCCTAGGTTAGATGGGAAAAGCAAATGTAATACTTAAGCTGGCCATACGCTGATCCGTTTTTTTTTTGGAGCAGCCAGTGGGCTGATCAAAAAAATGTGGTGGATTCTTCCATCCACAAGTGCGAGGTGGATGAAGATCTCCACCCTCCTGAACTATTGTACACTGATCAACACTGCAGTCTATTGGCTACATGCGCTGATTGAACAACAATTTACCAGCAATCTTGTTTGTGAGGAGTCTATCATTCATTAGATTAAATCCTCTTGAATGGGAATGGCTATAGATGGTTTGAATTTAATTTTATCTATGGCCATTTGTAGATGCTGGTTAAGAGCAACATCTTTTTATAATCTAACCAGCTTTCTGTTCTAAAGCGGTTTTCCACTCAACCCACTGGGTTCCTTCTGCTGATCATCACTTAGAACTGGTTAAATAGCAATATTAACCACTGCTTAACTTTTTCAGCAAAAGCTTTCCAATGGATTACCAAAATCAGGCTGCACCAGCGGTCTCACTATAAAGAGTTACATTTCTAGAATGTTTTAGCCTCAACTGCACATCAATACTTTAAAATTAGCTGATTATTGGCAGACACGGTTGGGAAGAGTTTGGGGGATGGTGAATGCAAATTTCCTCTGGTTCCTGAAAAATAATGGAGGTTTTACTGTACCCGACCTCATCCTTTTAATCTGAAGAATGAAGGAGCCTGGTGGAAAATTGTTGGGTGATCAAAGACTGTGGCTAATCAGATGCAGACACTGGGTATTCTGAAAGCTACAGGCTCCCCTTTACCTCCATCCACCTTCCCCTCCACCATATCTTTGCCCTCAGACCAGCCTTTCCCAACCTTTTTAACATGGAGGAACCCTTGCCCCTGCTAATGATTATTTCTATAGCTCACAGTACATTAGTGTGATTAGTGACTGCGAATAATGCTCCTTACTTTTATGGTCATTGGTAACAATCCCCCTCCTTGAAGATGGATAAAAAAGATCATTGGTGTCTGCAGTTTCTCATCTGAGAAGCAGAAATCACTTCATGTTCAAGAAACCCTTTGCAACCTCTGAAGAAACTCCAGGGTTCCATGGAACCCTGGTTGAGAAACCTTGAACTACGGTATGATATTAAGAGAAACTAGTTGCCGAAAATGCATGCCAAGGTGGAAATTGCAGGTATGCAACAGATGGGGTTGTATCTGTTGAATAGATGCCACCTAAAAGGCTGGAGGATACTTGACCGTATCTTACATGACTACCAAATGTGTCCTAGATCCACAGGATAGACTGTACTCCTCACACAGGCCTCCTAAATGTGTTGGTGTCAGACATATGGGATATGTTTAAGTATTTATATTCAGAGCCATAGACTGTCAGTGTTCGGCATTTTCCTTGGCCTTTCATGTGGTTTTTAAATGGTTTTGTTAGCGGATTCCTGCGACTGTCCTTGAACGCTGGTTATAGTGGGTATTTATTATGGCTATGTAATAACACATCTGTGGGAATGACAGCGAGGGGCCCAGTAATGGCCTGTGAGTCAGTGTTTTTGGCATGTGCTAATCTCTTCGTGTTACAGTATGGCAGTACGTAGGAGTTCCCAGCTCTGCCTACAGAAAGCGTTCAAGGTGCTATCATTCTTGCTTTTAGTAGAAAGCTGAGTGTAGTTAGATAATAAATTCCACCCACTCTTCTCAATACCCCACTCAATAGATCTTAACACTTTCCCAGCTGTACAGAAAAATTGTGGGTATAGATGTGTATTTTCTTAAAGGAATCTTTCCTGAGAGAAACATGACTTCTGATTTTGAGTCTTTGACTTGTTATTCTGTAAGGACCAGTTGCCAGTTTTGACATAGTAATTTCATCTCCATCATAGTTTTTATTTTTGTTGCCTTTCTGGCCATACACTTTTTTTTCTTTTTTTTTTCTAAACTGTGTTTTGTTTGTACATGAATGTTTGTTTTGTTTTTTTTTTTTTTTTTTTTGTTTTACATGGTATCCAGGAGCAGAATGGGTTCTCTACCTGTTGTAGTTCTGGTCATGTTGGAGAGCTTGCTAGAGGTTCACAGGCCTGCTCTTGGTATCGTCAAGAGAGAAGCTGTGCATGCTAGAATATTTTGAATATTCATTTTTTTTAATATTTAGCTCATCAGATAAGGATTTAAACGGTTAAAAGGCTGAAGTAAATATTAAAAAAGGTATATATCACAATAAAGTATGGGCATACATAAAGTATATTAGGTCTGTAATCGTTTCTTTTTAAATGAAGACGGTTATAATGGAATGGCTAATAATGGGCCTTTATTTTTTTCTCTTGCAGTCTCTGATGCTATTGAGCTGTGTTGCACTTGGCTGCCTGGCTTTAGATCTCCTCTTCCTGCTCTTCTATTCCTTCTGGTTCTGCTGCCGTCATCGGAAAACAGAAGAGAACACAAATGCAGACTGTTGCTGCACTGCGTGGTGTGTGATCATTGCCACTCTGGTCTGCAGGTAAGAACCAGAAATGTATTTTGTTTTTCTTTTAATTTATTGATTTTTTTATAATTCAGAAGCAAATCCCTTTTTTTATTTTTTATTATCCCCCCAGTGTAGAATATACTATTATCAGTCAGCAGCTCAATGATATGAAGAAGATAATGGTATGGGTTATGTCCTTAACGCAAATCCCCTGTACATTTCAACTCTGTCTGGGAGAGGAAAGGACAGGCCTAGAATCCTATTAACTGCATGCAACTATCCTGACAAGGAACATGCTGACAAGGGAGAAGAGTAGAGTGATGTGCTCATCAGTCTGCTGCTGCTCCTTTGTAGTCCGGTCACCAGAAGGGTAGTAGGTATATGTTCATAGACCGCAGAGGAAATGGGAATCGGAAGTCAGAAACTAATTTCTAGAGTCAGCTCTCTGCCAGCTGTGGTATCCCAAAGGGTTCTTAAAGATTTTATAGAAAGAATGAGAGCTCCACAAAGCTTGAGGAAGTGCCGCAAGAATTCTATTTCATCGTGACATGAGATCAGAAAATCCAGTGCACTCAAAACTCATCGGGGTTTGTGTGCTGACTGTGAAATCCAGAGTTGTACTGGGCAACCATTGCAAAAGTAACAAGGTTGTCCTCAAAAAGATTGGGTTGATAAAGTGTCAGTTTGGTCATCCAGGTCTTTTTGGTGATATACAGTTTCCATTCACAACTGTGAATGCATTGCCAGCACACAGGCCCTTATAAAGGGGGAGCTTTGAGCCACCAAAAGGTTTTGGCTTATCTGATCTTGTGTTGTGATGAAATACATTTATTATTGGACCTACTCAAGGTTTGGTGTGCTCTCGTCTTTCCAACACTCTAGGCAGGGAGGTGACCAGACTCCTTGATTAATTTGCTGAAGAGAAAAGTTTATTCACCAACCTCTCTTTGATCTACCAGTGTTGTGTACATTTCAGGATTGACTGAACAGAAATATAAATCATTTTGACCCAGTTCCCCATTTATGCACTTCATCAGTGGATGTAGTTGTTTGCTTGGAGTTGAACTTTAGAAAATAAATATGGTTCTGTATGACTGGAGTGCTACTTTAAATCAGGCAAGTATCTTGCAGATGGTTAAATATTCCTGGACTTGGAGCAGGTAAAGCACATGTTGAAATAATCACTGAATGGGCTCAGCAGTGCTTTGTGGCTGCCTTCACCACATGATTATGACTTACAACTTGACTCTAGAGCATAATAGAGTTCTTGGTAGCAGGAACACAAAATATAGCCCTCCGATGGAAGTATATTGCCGGTACGAAGAACTGCCTAATATAAAATGAACTTAAATTGCACTCCATTCACTTTCAGCAGTGATACATTTGAATGTTTAAGAAGGTTGTCCGAGTTTGGCTGGCTTCACACTTGAGAACAATGCGTATAATATTATGTGCAATGTGTTGCAGTGACAGGGATTAGATGCCACCACAGTGCATTACAACATGGGAACCAGTGCTTTGTTGCTGAAAATGCTGCGGGTATGGTCTTTCAATAACTTTGTGTGATGCCAGCTTGGTAGGCTGCCCTAACGTAGTGTCCCTCAGTGCTCTAAAATGCATGTGTTAACACAAACAAGTGTGAGGGGGTCTTTAGATCTGTTGACAGTGATTTCCTTGGTGGTCAGTTTTCTTAATTATAGGAGTCCTTAAGTGTGACCCATTACATTGCAAAGGGCCACATATAATATTCAGGAGACACTCATAGACTGGAGACACATTACTTGAGTCATAAAGATCACTGCTATTACACCCTCTTTACTTGTTAACCCTAGAGTTCCTCCAGACGTTGCTAAGGGTGACTTGAGCAGTGATTGGCTGACCTCCCATTTGATGGCACCTGCTTAGTATCAGGACCAATGCCACTTGGCAAAGCCAGCAGAATGATGCCACTTCTCTTTTTTAGTGGCCTTCTGACCACCACTGTAAGGGTTGCATTGTACCTGCTAACCCTCAATGTAAAAAGATATTCTTGCACTTGACTACTGATGAATTGGTTTTAGGAAGGCTCCCCCTGAGAACTGAAAATTTATTTTAGGGGTTCCTCTGGGGTAAAAAGGTTGAGAGATACTGCATTAATGCCTCCAAATTTGTGCCTCCTACAGCCAATTTAAAAAGTACTTGTGCCACTTAGCAAGAGCCATAATAAAAGATCAGAGGGGAAAGCATAAAAAGGTATGGACAACACAGAAATGGTAAGATACTGTAAAGGAATTAAACTAAACCCTTTTAACTACTGGTGCCAGATTAAAGAATGTCTGTCTGGGCTACAGGTTGGGAACCTGGGTCTTAAAACCTTCTTAATTAAAGTGGAATGCCAAGTCCATTGGACCTTATACTGTGATTCTGAAACCATCATTGGCTTAGCAGACATAGTGGATGAAGTTCTTAGCTCCCTTTCCCTTAGTACTTCTGGATTCATTGACCACAAGAAGAGATGAGTCTTCAACAGGCCCAAGTGAAGGGAGACGATTGAATGGGTGATCGGGCTTCTACCATCTGCTTGTCATTGGTTCCCTTAGTCTGGCCTTGTTTAAATCATTATACAGCTCAGAATCGTCCCTCCTGCGGAGTTCAGCCCAGAAGAGGTTGTTCCCTAAACTCGAAATAGAACATTTCCTCAGACACTGAATTGTTAGGCAGTAATTAGACAACCAATTAATTAACACTTCTCTTGAGAGCCCTCTAAGAATGGAACTTCAGTGCTGCATAACTTCTGTGATTTCTTGGTGACTCGAAGACGCAGTTTTCCTGTATGGGTTACAAGATTTTCAGTCTGGTTTTAAAAAAAGGCAAAAAGAGTTATGTGCAGAAGGCAGTTGATCAGCAGCAACTTTTTTTTTTTTTTTCACTGGAACTGGATCACATGGTTGTTTATACCCCTGCAATCAAGTTCAAGCGAGTGTACTGTGTTTGCAAACTCCTTTTTGGGGTATTGTTAACTATCCATTAACACCTGCAGCAGATCACGTGCAGGGACTCATGGGTTTCCCACATGCATATGTGTGAACCGGGCTTAATCTTGGGTGAAAACACTTAGGGCTATTCAGATCTGGGCATTCTGGTGGGTTTCATTAATATTCTTTTTTTTTTTTCTTTTTTTTTGCACATTTACAGGTGTGGTGGTAAACAGAAACTCAAGCTAAACGCTAACTGTTTTAAAAATGTTCCCTTCCTACCTACCCTGTGTAAAAGAAAAAAAAAAAGATCTGTAAACTTTTTTTTTTTTTTTTTTTTATTGGCTGGTCGCATGATCCTGCAGCTATGGCTTCCCTGTGTTATGGAGCTCTCGACAACAGCTGTGAATTTTGGGAGCCATGACGTCATCCATAGTCTCCCATGGCCCAGCTGTTGGCACTCCTCTCTTGCAGCCCCTGCTCACAGGGAAAACGGAGCTGCAGGATCACATGACTGGACCAGACTTAAAGGTAAGAACCTCCCTATACATTTGAGTCTGGTTTTTCCCATGTGATCTCTATTTACCTATTGTGAGCAGTCTTTTGGACGCATATCTAAAGTGAAGTTCATATCTATGCATGTGTGGTTGCTGTGTTTTTTGCACCTCTTTTTCTGTTGTGTTTTGCATTTGTCATGCTCGTTTTTTTTTGTCTTTTTAATGTGTTTCTGGCATTTTTGTTTTTGCCAGTGGCAAGCTATGTGTTGATGTTGCTAGGAGGAGGTGTCTGCAGCAAAATTGTGTCAAAAATGTGTGTATATATAATTTGATGCAATTCTATTGAAATCTATGGAGCCAAAAATGCACCATGCTGCAAGAACAAAAGTCCCTGCACCTTTCCAAAAAACACATTGCAGGAAACTGCATAGATGTGAATGGGACCCATAGGAAATAAGGTTAAATTGATTATAATTTATTTCTGCAGATCTGCAAACACACTAAAAAAAAAATATGCATAGATGTGAACCTAACCTAATGCAGGCAATAGATGGGTTGAAAATCGGCCGACTTTTCGGCCGAAAATAAAATCAGCCGATTTTTGGATCGTTAGTGGGTTAATTGTTCGGCCGTTTTTCGGTATTTTGGCAGATTTTTTTTATCAGTAAAGTTGGAAAAAGATCAGCCGATTATGCCAATTTTCGCTGCAATTATGGGCAAATCGGCCGATCTTTTTACCGATAAAAAAAATCTGCGCATGAGCAGTGACCTGCAAGAGGAAGAGGAGGAGGATGAAGAGGAGGAAAAAGATGAAGAGAGGAGGAGGAGGAGGAGGAGAGGAGGAGGATGAGGAGGAGGAGGAGGAGGATGAAGAAGAGGAGGAGGATGGAAGGAGCCGCTATAAATGTCAAAAGCACTGTCAAAGAAATAGCGGAGCTCTCTGCAGGGACACTTTTTGCCGGCTGTAGACGGGATGAAAATTGGCCAATTTATTTATTTATTTATTTTTTTACCATTCCTGGTAACGACGGCAGCTTGAACGACCGATTTTTCGTTTTTTTTAAAGAAAAATCGGCCGGTTTTCTCCCCATCTATGGCCTGCATTAGGGAGTCCTGAGATGCCTTATTTGAAATAATGCCACCCAAAGACCTATGAGGGATAATCAAACATGTATTCATGATATAACTGCCCTGAATATGAGCAAGGACATTCTGCTTCGTGCCATTTTCCTTTTTGGAGGTCTTTGCAGATATATAGGGGGAACAATAGAGATCAGGGGAGGTTTACCAAGTTGCTGCAGTGATGTCCTTTAGCCAAGTGTCATCTCTTGCTTTTACCTAAACCGTTTACATCCAGATCTTGGAGCTCCTGGAATCTGAACTGGAAGGGCCCTTGATAAAAACATTAAAAGAAAATGGGTTAAAAAAAAGAGCATAAGGAAACTATAAATCAGCTTGATTAGCCTTGATGTATGAAAAGAGCTGGTTTGTTTTTACAAGTGCACTTGTCCTTTAAGGGGAAAAGACTACTTGGTTTGAAATCCTGGTTACAGCCTTACAAAGAGTACTTGCTGCATTTATC